ACTACTACTACTACTACTAGTCCTATATAGTCCTCCTTCCTGCTTCTGGTCCTGCTCCATCTGCTGCTCGGCCTCCTACCACTACTAGACCTACCACACTCCTTCTCAGGTGCGGGGAGGGGGGGGGGGGGGGAGGGGTGCACAATGTGCACCTCTCCTCCTCCCCCTCTCTCCTCACGGCCACACTGGCCACTGTCCGGTGACAGAGGCAAGGTTGGGTTTTGGATTGGATTGGGTTTGCTCGACAACTGGACATGATGATTTAGGGGCTCAGGGTTTAGGAGTTTAGAGGTTTGCGGTTTAAGGAGTAGGAGCTAAGGGCGGGTTTTCTGTTATATTATACGGTTTTCTCCAGGTGAGCGATATCTATACATTGAGAGGTACAGGTTCAGGTGTTCTGGGTTGGTGAGGATTCGAATGTTTCAGCCGGTCCTTGTGCCACTTCCAGTCGCCTTGATACTGCACTACAGCTGCATATAAACGCTTGCGCTCTCCGGAAGGGGTTTTCACCATGACACCCTCCTCGTAGAGGATGTTGAACGACTTAACAACCTCGTCCACAGAATTCCGACTATGTATCTTAACCACTTTAGCAGTAGTGAAAGTCTTTCATATGTACAGCCACTCTAGAGAACTTACCCCAGGACCTCGTCCATGAAGGTGTTGAGGGTGCCAGGCCCAACACTGTAGGCCTCAGGGTGGGCAGCATATAATACCATCACACCAACCTAGTCAACTCTACTCTATTCTACTATTGTGTTGGGCTTGTGCTAGGTGGGAACCTTTGTCATAGATTTGCTTATGCTCTCTCGGGTTTTCTTGTATGGGCCAATGTACGACTTGATGGAGTTGGTGTTAAGGGGTTTTGGAGTAGGTCTCATTAATATTAAGTCCGATCCCACCTGCTGGTAAAGGAACAGAGGCCACACAGTCCGTAGTGCATTCTTGCAGGTCTCCAAAACCCGCCCGAATGCCACAGCCACCAGCTTGTCCTGGTGCGTCTGCGTGAACTGGGCATCATCACCCCAAAGGTACAAGGGGATGTGAGCATCCGTTTGCCCGGATGCAGCCAGTCCCACACTTCGTGCATGAGACCAGTAACTGGCAACTTCATGGCATGCATCATCATCCACTGGCAGAAAGCCATTCTCCACCAACCATGGTAGCAACTGATGTGGCAGCACAACCGGAAGCTTCCTTATCTGGCAGGACACTTCCAAGCTTTAAGTTTGTGGTGGTTGTTATAGGTTGAAAGACTAGGAGCTTCTTTGTCATCTTAACCTTCACCATCACAGGGACCTCGAGCTTTGTAAGTGGGACCTTAGATGCATCTTCGAACCGAGAACCTCCCTTGAAGCCCACCTTAAGAACATGCACTACATAGGTCTAATATTTTAGAAATGGCACCTGGGAGACTTTGCACCTCCTCATCATATCACGTTGAATGTTGCTTTGCCAAACCCCAGATGTAGACAGCAGATCTCCTGCTGCCCCTTCGAGCTGCAAACCGTAGCTTTGAAACTCCCGGTTCACGGCCTCAAGCATCTCCCGGGCACCAGCAAACGAACTCGCCTTGGTACAGGGCGATGGAAGACGATGCAGCAAAGATTGCAATCTCCCAGGCGTGGGTGGGTCTAGAATTACGAAGTATTAACAGTTAGGCAGGAAAGTAGCAGTGTACGGTTTTATGGCATGGACTCCATCAAACAAGATTGGGGCTTGGTTCCTCTAGGCTTGGGCATCGCGCTCGCTACCTAGATGCTATATGGAGAGTTTCCCATCTCTCTCCATCTCTCTGTCCATCTCTCTCTCTATCTCTCTCTC